TGGCACGCCCAGGGCTGCGTTTCCCAGACCTTCATGTATTTATAGCCCCATCCACGCTCCAAGCTGGACTCTGGCTGACTCACATTAACACTCCCGAGAGTCCATTGCTGCTGCATGCCCAGCACTTGGGAAATGAGGAAACAGCCATGGTTGGGCCACCGGTCCCATGGGCTGGCGTGCAGCCCTCTGCATGCCGGTGTCCCCTCACCGCCCCTCACATTGCCGCCAGCCACTCTGCACCTCCCTGGGCTGGCAGCAAGCAGGGTGTGCCGTGCAGATTTGTCCCACTGTCACCTCCCCAGGCTGCTGTCACCAGCATGGCATGCTGGGCTGGGGCTGGCGGGCTGGCAAGAGGGCTGGGTGCGCTGTCCCTGCCTGTCCCCAGGGCCTGGAGGGGCTGGTCAGGGAGCAACTGTCCCTGCAGAGACTCGGGGGGTCCCATGGAGGGCAGACAGGAGGCATGTCATGATGTCCCCACAGAAATGTGTGGTGGGTGCTGGGCTGCAGCAGGGCCATGTTTTGGGATGGCTGGTCAGGGGATGCCAGTGCTGCCCTTGGGTGTGAGTGCTCTGGGTGCTGACTGCTGCTCAGCCTGCTCCTCCATCTCCTTCTCCTCTGCAGCCCACCTCTTCCCGGTGAAGGCCACACAGTCGGTGAACGTTGCCGAGCCAGCCACCTTCTCTGCCAGGGTCCTCAAGAGGAAGGAGACAGACGTTATGTGGAAAAGAAATGGCAAGTGGCCCTGAGAGCAGGCATGGGGCCAGGGCTGCTCCCAGACGGTGCCTGGCACCGGCCCCAGGGGCGCGGGCGTCCCCAGGTCACCCTCTATCCCCTTTCAGGCACCTACTACCAGACAACGGACCGGGGCGAGGTGCGGGGGGACCTCGTCACTCTGACACTCCCCAATGTCAGCGTGAGCGAAAACGGCGTCTACAGTGCCACATTTATGGGCGACAGCCCTCTGTGGAGCGCCTTCTACCGCCTGATCGTGAGAGGTGGGTGTGGACCTGGCTTCCTGGGACACGGGGACAGACGGCTGTACCCTGCCCTTCGGGCTGGTGCCCCCCTATGCCCCCTCCACTCTCTCCGCATCCTGCCCTGCGAAGAAATGGGGACCGTCCTGCCAGAAGGACTGTCCCGACTGTCTGAATGGTGGCATCTGCCACGACCACGTTGGTGAATGTGTCTGTCCTCCTGGGTTCATGGGCACCCGCTGTGAGCGAGGTAGGTGCTGGTTGCCCAGCAGTGGGAGCTATGCCTAGGGCATACACAGGGTCCCCACTGCACCCTCAGACCTGGCTGCCATGGCCAGAATAGCTCTGTGCATCCCCAGCACTCCCTGCCTGCGGTGGCCCCTGTTCTGGAGCAGGGCTGGACCACCCACCTCCCCAGAAGGACACAGTTTCTGTACCTGCTTGGTGTGACAACATGGGGTGCCCGAGCCAGTGCCATGCCATGCACAAGCAGTGCATGGGTGAATGGCAGGTGAGGGAGGACCACGCTTGTTTTTCCAGCCTGCCGGGAAGGACAGTTTGGCCGCAACTGCCAGGAGACGTGCCAGAGAGCCCAGGGCTGCAGGGGGCTGAGCTTCTGCCTGCCGGACCCCTACGGCTGCTCCTGCGCCTCGGGCTGGACTGGCTCCCGCTGCAACCAAGGTATGGGGATGTGGGCATCCATTGCATTACCCATCAGCCTGGGCTTCCGCCGGGGCTCGTGCAAACCTTCTCCAGCCTGAGAGTCAGCGTGGGCTGAGCAGTGCTGCTGCCTGCACCAGTTGCCTGTGGTCTCTGCCTCCACGGTCCTGTGCCTGCCAGCCCTGCACTGTGGCAGGGGCAGCAGTGTGCTATCCTCTTCTCTTTCCACAGCTTGTCCCCCAGGATACTATGGTGCTGACTGTGCCCTGGGGTGTGCCTGCCAAAATGGAGGCAGCTGTAACCGCTTCAGTGGCTGCATCTGCCCTGCCGGCTGGCACGGGCAGCACTGCGAAAAGTCAGGTGAGGCTGGCGTGGGGACACAGCAGGGTTCTGTCCCCCACCCTCAGGGGGGCTCTAGCTCTTTCCTCATGGGTGACTGGGGGACCGTCAGCTACTGGTCTCACCAGCCAGCTCAGCAGCTCCCCTTGCCTGCAGAAATAGCCCCCAACCCTATGGAAACCAGGGTGCTGTAAGGGGACCACCTGGTCTGGCCCCCTGGGATTAGCTGTGCCAAGGGCAGTGCCAAGCCCAGCTTGTGGGGCAGGGATCGGGGCTGGACCACAGCACCTGGCACTGGCCCCCTGGCACTGGGGTCCAGCCACAGCCGGGACCGTGGAAAGGTGCCAGCCTCTCTCATGCCTGGGGAGGAATAGGGCCAGCCCTAACCCTGATTTCTCCATGCCAGACCGATTCCCCCAGATCATTCAACTGGCCTCAGAGCTGGAGTTCAACCTGGGCTCGGAGCCCGTCGTCAGCTGCGTGGCCACTGGCAACCCACTGCCTGCCAGCGACAGTGTGGAGCTGCGGAAGGCTGACGGAACTGTGCTCAAGGTACCACCGCTTGCCTGGCGCCTGCTCCGCACTGCCCCATGCCCTTACCCCACTGCCATCCCTGCACATCAGCCCCCATTCGTATTGCTAGCTCCCCCAAAAGCATCTGTTTCCCTGCCAGTCTGCTGGGCAGCTCCAGGCCAGCACAGGGAGCTGGGGGCCTGAGCCAGGGGGCTGACAGCACCCTGTGTGCCCACAGCTCATCAAAGCCATCATCGAGCCGGGGCAGATCACCTGTGAGTTTCAGGTGCGGCACCTGACGAAGGCAGACACGGGGCTCTGGGAGTGCCGGGTCTCCACAACCGGGGGCCAGGACAGCCGGAAAGTCAAGGTCAACATCCGAGGTGAGGAAGGAGCAGTGGTACGAGAGGGATGAGCCTGGGATGCTGGGGGAACCTGACAGCACGGTGTGGCAATGCCAACCCCCTGCCACTGGACTGGGTGACACCCATCATGTGCTGCAGCACCAGCAGACAGGTTTAGATGATGATAAAAGACTTCCCTGGCAAAGCTGGAAGGAGCCAAGAGGTGGTGGATTTCCCCACACTCTGCTTCTTGTTGCTCCCACTCCCACTAGTGTCATTCCCTCCTTCCCACCCAGAGCCGCCAGCACCGCTTACTCCTCCCCGGCTGCTAGCCAAGCAGAGCCGCCAGCTTGTGGTGTCACCCGTGGACTGCTTCTCTGGCGATGGACCCATTGTCTCTGTCAAGCTGCTCTATAAGCCCAAGGATGATGCCTCAGCATGGTCATCCATTGTGGGTACGTGTTTGCCAGGGGAGGGGGGACACAAGTAGGACCTGGGCAGGAGCGGATGGCTGCCCCAGCCAGTGGGGGTCTGGGGTGGGCAGAGCTCTCCATCCTGGGACCCCTGCAGTGTTGCCGAGGAGGACACCAGTGGCAAGGCAGAGCGTGGGTCATGGGCACGGCTTTGACATGTCCTCTTGGCCAACAGTCGACAACAGTGAGAACATCACCCTCATGAACCTCCGTCCGGTGACTGCCTACGTCGTCAAGGTGCAGCTGAGCCGGCCAGGGGACGGTGGGGAGGGCAGCAAGGGGCCCGAGGCCATCATGGTGACCGAGTGCCTTGGTGAGTCCCCATCCCCCTCAGCTACATCCTGACCTTAACACTGACCCTACCCCTAGCCTTGCACATGAGGTTTTGCTGCCTTTTTGTTCGCAGAGCCCACAGTCAAGCCTGTGATCGAAGGCTGGTCCATAGAGGACAAAAACACACTTCATGTCAACTGGAAACTGCCAAGTAACCACGAGCCAGCACATGGGTTCATAGTCCACCTCTTCGACTCTGCAAAGCGGCTGGTCTGTGAGAAAAACATCACGTCCATCTCTGTGCTCTCTGCCCGCATTGGGGACCTGGAGTTCAACAAGGAGTATGGGCTGGAGGTACTGGTCTACCACTGCACCAGCCTGGGGCCCCCCTCCGACCTCTACAAGGTCGTGATCAACAGCAAAGGTGGGTCCAGCAGCGCACGGGGAATTATTACAGGGAATTATAGTGATAAATAAGTTATAAATGTAACAGTAACTATCCCCAGATCTGGCTGCTTCTGTATCCCATCTCTGATAGCACACGAACAGCTGCTTGGGGGAAAATAGCTCCTCCTTTTCCTGCTAGATCCTGCAGCCTCCAGCACCAAGCAGCTGAGAAAGATTCGAAGCTGAATATGACATTCAGACCGTCACAAGTGAGGCTCACAAACAGACCTGTCCTCCATGCCCTTGCCCAAGCCCTGATGGATCTATCTGTAGTTGTGGCCTTTACAACACCCTGTAGCAAGAAGTTCCTTGATATAACTATTCTTTGCGTGAAAAATTTATTTCCCTTTGGTTCACTTTAACCTCACTGCCTGGTAATTTTACTGGACACTCACGAGGGCGTGGGGAGATCTGCAGCCCTTCCTTGGGGCACACACCCAGATGCAGACCTCCGCATGGATGGGTAACTGTGGGGAGGTGGAACATCAGCCTGACCAACGTTTCTGGCAACCAAGGGGAAAGGAGTGCCCAAGGCCTTCAGTGACGCTTGGTGCTGGCCACCGTGCATTGGGAGGGCTGGTGGGCATCAGGCTTGGAGCATGTGGGGGTTTCTCCTCTTGCTGCTTGTAAGAGCTTTGTGTGATTTGCGGATTTGGGTTTAGGGATGTGTGCAGGATGGAGAAGGCTCAGAGAAGGTGGTGGGAATGATAAGATACTCAAAACCTGCTGTGTGTGAGGGATGGTTGAAGACAGAAAATATCCCAAGAGCTAGTCAATACAAAGATGTCTAGCTTGATGGTCCCTGAGGCTGGGAGTGTTTGTGCGTGCAGTCCTGTCCCATTGTACCCGGAGAGATGCTCCCAGCCCCAGGGTCCATGTCCACCTCCTCCTGCCTCTACCCAAGCATGAGCCGGGGCACCCTGAAGGTCCCTCAAACCTGGCATGGCTTTGGTTGCCATTGCCATCCATGAGGTCCTCAAGCCAGTGCTCAGCCCTGCAGAACCAGGAGGCCTGTCCTGGGGCTGATGCTCTCCTCTCCTTGTCCCAGGGCCCTCTTCCCCACGGTCGCTCTTGGCAGAGTCCGTGTCTGACACCGCCGTCAGGCTCTCCTGGCAGGTCCCCGAGTACCCCAACGGGGGCATCACCAAGTACATCGTGGAGCTGCAGCAGGTGGGAGGCACCAGCGAGCCCCAGTGGATCGACACCGACAGTGGCGCTGAGACCACCAAGATCATCGGGGGCCTCAATGCCAGCACCAGCTACCAGTTTCGCGTTCGGGCCAACTCCCACGTCCCAGGGGAGTGGAGCCAGCCCGTGAAAGCCAAGACCCTGGGGGACGGTGAGTGGGGTGTCCCAGCAGGCAGGAAGCTCACGGCTCTGCTGGAGCTTGGGGTCAGCATCTGGGTCAGCAAAGAGTAACCAGAGCAGCTCTGAAGCAGCAGCCCAAAACTCAAAACATTTGTGAGCATCTTCAGAAATCCTGCCCTTCCTAGTCCTGATGGGGCAGGGGTGGCATGATGACAGCACAGCACCCACAGAGTGGGTGACGTGGTGCATGAGGGGCTAGAGGATCAGGGCAGAGCTGGCACGGGAGGAGCTGGTGGCTGGACACAGAGCTGGTTAGAGGTCCAGAAACCAGCAGGTTTAATGTCAAGACCCAGGCAGTGACATCCTCACCACAGTGTCACCATGGCCCTGGGGTTTGGGATGCAGCTGTGGTGTCTTCATGGGGTTCCAGGGTGCTGGGAGAGGGCTGCAGTCTCAGTGGTTGGCCGCCTGTATAGACTGGGCAGGGCTCGGCCACAGACCGCAGACC